TCAATGAACCATCCACGTAACAGTCTCTTCAAATGATGCTCAACAATTGCCATCGTTTTTTACTACGCATAAGCATGCAGCCCGTTCTGCTGCCTGAGATCTAAATAACGTTTCCTACAGTGGGATTAAACGATAAAGCTATTTTTAAAACAATAAAACTATTTTTAATCTAGGTATTTAGACTGCCACTTTTCACCACAATGGGGACCCAAAAGGGCTTACAACACCGTTCTTCCCTCCTCTTTTATCCTCACAACAATCACACCCTGATGTAGGTTAGGCGGAGCGAGAGAAAAGCGTGAGAGAAGTCTTCCAGGTCCTAGTTCGATATCTTTAACCACTACGTCAAGCCAGCTCTAATTAACAGGTTGCAGACCTTTTAACAGTGGCAGGACCTGAGTAGGTACCGCCTGAAACACCAGTGTATGCCAACACTGATGAAATTGGACAACTTGTCTCTTCTTGGTGATCATTCTGGAATTTCAGGGAAGAGAGGAAAGAGACAGATCTGCCCGGAAGGGTTGTAGAGGAATGCCAAAAGCCCTTCCCTTCACAACCTGGTGACACCCGGAAGCCGTGCGCTTCCACCCACACTTGGCCACAACTAGGAAGCGCACAAAATTTACATCTGCAGCCAAACAAACCCTTGCTCCACCATATTTGACCTGCCAATTCATCAGTGCCCCAGCATTTATGCTAACTTATTAAATGTCTTCTATAGGAGCCTTAGCAAACATATTAAATGTATTATATAGGGGCCTTAGCAAACAACATGAAGCTGATTCAGCTTCATACCCACAGCTCCTTTACTACTACCCTCCTCGGCGGAGACAGCAGGTTCCCTCATGCCTTTCTCACGCTTCATTTCCTTATCATAAGAACATGAGAAACCAATGTTGGACCAGGCCAATGGCCCATCCAGTCCAACACTCCGTCACACAGTGGCCAAAAATACCAGGTGCCCTCAGGAGGTCCACCAGTGGGGCCAGGACACTAGAAGCCCTCCCACTGTTGCCCCCCCCAAGCGCCAAGAATACAGAGCATCCCTTGCCCCAGACTGAGAGTTCCTGTCTATACCTTTGGTGTAGTGGTTAAGTGTGCGGACTCTAATCTGGGAGAACCGGGTTTGATTCCCCACTCCTCCACTTGCACCTGCTGATGTGACCTTGGGTCAGTCACAAGCTCTGGCACAGCTGTCCTTGAAAAAGAGCCGTTTGTGTCAGAGTTCTCTCAGCCCCACCCACCTCGCAGGGTGTCTGTTGTGGGGAGGGGAAAGGAGTTTGTAAGCCGCTCTGAGACTCCAAGTGAAGGGCGGGGTATAAATCCAATCTCTTCTTCTTCTTCTTCCTTGTGGCTAAGAGCCACTCAGAGCTCTCTCAGCCCCACCTACCTCACAGGGTGTCTGTTGTGGGGAGGGGAAGGGAAAGGAGTTTGTAAGCCGCTCTGAGACTCCCAAGTGAAGGGCGGGGTATAAATCCAATCTCTTCTTCTTTTTCTACCTTGTGGCTAAGAGCCACTGATGGACCTCTACTCCATATGCTTATCCAATTCCCTCTTGAAGCCGTCCATGCTGGTAGCCGCCGTCACCTCCTGCGGCAGCGAATTCCATGTGTTAATTCCTCTTTGGGTGAAGAAGTACTTCCTTTTATTCTGTTCTGACTGCTCAGCAAGACATTTATACCCCACTTTTGGGGACCCAAAGCAGTGTACGTTGTTCTTCTCACCTCCATTTTATGCTCACAACAACCCTGTGAGGTAAGTTAGGCTGAGAGCGTGTGACTGCCCCGAAGTCACCCAGCAAGACTCCATGGCAGAGGGGGAAATTCCACCCTGGGTCCCCCCAATCGTGGCCCAACATTAACCGTTACACACCATGCTGGCTTTATGTCATCGCCCTGCATGCATTTTCTCCCTCTGGTTCTTAAAGACAACTTTGTGGAAAGCTGATGACTTTCACACCACCGCTAAACACAGGAGGAGTTTCTGCTGACACTTCTAGAATGGGCTTGTAATGAGTTCAAGTTATAAGTGTGCATTTCTTTAAATGGTGGGTAAGTTTCAGTAGAACAAGGGAAGGTGAAAGAGAGAGAGAGAGAACGCCAGCCAGTGTTGAGTGTGCAGTCAGCTGACCAACAGAGAACAAGGAGAAAACCGGTCTAGTGGTCAGATCAGGGAGGCCTGGGTTCAAGTTCTGCCTCTGCCACACAGCTCACTGAAGGGCCTTGGTCAAGTCACTTACAGCAGCACGTTATCAGACCAAGAGAGCATGGACTCTCCAGACCTCATGTCCTGGAAATCATGCTGGACTCCCAAAAGCTCATACCCTGCAAACCCTGTTGGGCCCTTTTAAAGTGCTACTGAATTGGTCAGGGCTGGATTCAGGCCAATGGATGCCCTACTAAGCACAGCTCAACGCTGGTGCCCCTCGGCCCCCTCCGCTGCTTAACTGACAAGACATTAAGGTCGAATCTGCATTTGTCTTTCCCACCAGTGTCCCAGCCTTCTGACTCAGTCTTCAAAAAAGCTGTCTACATTTGGTTTCGTTTTCACACCTCAACAGTGCTAGCATACTTTTGCATGTCCACATATGTTTATTGCCTTCTCGTGGCGGCTCCACTGTCATTGCGCCTCCCCACTGCTTTAAAAGAATCTTCTCCAAACAACGTTCAAACAAGCATAGAGAAAGACAGCATCACAGCAGCATGAAACTGATTTAAAAATGCAAATGCAGATTCGACCTAAGACTCAAGAAGTGCTGCATTAAGAATTCAGTTTCCTTCCAGGCCACCACAACCGTATTAAATAAAGCTTTAAAAAATTAATCCTAAATAGCAGTAAGCAATATAAGCAAATTATAACACGGGCAATGGGGGGGGGGATGCAAGTTTTCAACACTCATGCATCTGTAATAAAATTATTATAAGGAAAAAATGCAAACACAAATTTTTTTGGAAAACTGTTTTTAATCATCTTCCCGAAGATTATAAGGCAAAATATGACCTGGTATTGTCTCTACTGAAATCACGTGAACTCGAGAGCATACTTTTCCATTTTGAAAATGTTCTTTCTACAGAAATCGAGGTTGGTGGAGAAATATCATTATGTGTGCAAAACAAAACATTGTATTCCATTGCTTTCGAAACTTGAAGACATATAACATTTCAATAGACGTGGATCAAAAGATGCAAAGTAATGCTTATTGTTCCCTAATTTTAAAAAGTTTCCTTTAAAAAGTTTTCTCCTACTTTTTTGTAATTGCAAAGTCTTCGATCAAGTCTTCAAAACTGATCTGGCCCTAACAGATCAGATTCTACACTTAGCAGAGACAAGGCCTGTCTTGTTGCATAATAGCTGCCGCTGCTCCCTGCCCTTGGTGCTAGTGGCTCAACTGCCTATCGTTTCTTACAAATGGCCGTAACAGAAGAAATAACTGAGAAAAATATTTCCTCTTCAAGGCATCCCCCCCCCTTCCCTTGGTGGCCTAAGCACATGATTATTTTGCTTAAATAAGCCAGCTTGGCGTCGTGATTAAGAGCAGTGGATTCTGCTCTGGAGGAACCAGGTTTGATTCCCCACTCCTCCTCCAACAGAAGCCAGATGGGTGACCTTGGGTCAGTCACAAGCAGGTGGGAGTGGGAGCTGAGTGAGTCACAAGTTCTATCAAAGCTCTCTCAGCCCCAGGTACCTCACAGAGTGTCTGTTGTGGGGAGAGGAAGGGAAGGAAATTGTAAGCCACTTGGAGACTCCTTTGTGGTTTCCAGGGCTGGGATTGGTAGTTATGTGGCTTAGCCTGACCCGGACAGGCCAAACTAGCCTGATCTCATCAGATCTCAGGAACTAAGCAGGGTCAGTCCTGGCTAGTATTTGGAAGGGGAGGGGCACAAGGAAGTCCAGGTTCGTGGTGCAGAGGCAGGCAAAGGCAAACCACCTCCGAACAAAACTTTAAGACCCACAAAATTTTATTTTGGGCATGAGCTTTGACGTGCATCCACACACTGAAACAGTTTCCCCCAAGCCTTACATATTGGGAGAGAGAGAGGGCGGAAAGGGTGAGTTGCCCGGAAAGGCTAGTTAAAAGAGTCAAGAGGCATAAAGTAAGTAACTTCGGCGATCCGTCTGCACATGTCCCTCGGGACCGGCCATCACTCAGCCGCCGCTTGAGGACACCCACAAAGGTGTGCGCCACTCTGGAAGAAAGGGTGGGTGTTACCTTTCCACCAGAGCAACCCGGCGCCCCAACTTCCCCGCGGCGCAGAGCTGGGTCGCTGTTGCCACAAAACAGAAAGAGACTCCACCTTCCCCAAAAATGCGCCTTCGGGCCCCTTATGCGTCGCAGCGAACAGCACGAACGGCCGTGGGGAGGGAAGGAGGGGAGGGAGGCGCCGGAGCCGCCGCGGGAGTCGGGAAAGCGTCTCTCGCCGCGGTCTCTTTACGCGCCCTCGGAGCTGGAAGCAATTAGGAGAGGCAACGAAATCAGTGTTCCCTCTAAGCTGAGTTAGCGTGAGCCAGCTCACAGTTTTTTAGCCACCAGCTCACACATTTTTGCCTTCGCTCGGGAAGGAGGGCTCCAGAGCAAACTGAGTCATGCAGGAGCCAAATGGCTCACTCACAACTTTAATGCCAGCAGCTCACAAAGTAGCATTTCTGCTCACAGGACTCCACAGCTTAGAGGGAACATTGGCAACGATCCGTGGCGACGGGTTTGGCGCTGCGGACCCCGCTCTCCGCGGGCGCGCAAGTCCGCTGCTCGCCTTTCCCACGAGCGCCAAACTGGCTTTCCAAAGACGCCGGGCAAATTCAACCCCCCCCCCCCGGTGGTTCTCGCTGCAGCCAGGGACCACTCGCCCGCCAAGTCCTCCCTCCCCCTCCAGCAAGCTACTCTTGGAAACCGACAGCTAACGCGGCTCGACCCGACGCCCGAGCCGGCAGGGCGCGTTCTCCCGGGGCGACTCCCCGCGCAAGGCGCGCCTTCGGGCTCCTCTCCGGCGCGCAACGCCCACCTTGGCCACCTGATTGTTCACGACGCCGGGCAGGACGACGACCAGCACCAGCCCCGCGACCAGCAGGGTGGCGCCCAGCGCCCCGCAGACCAGCACCGCCGCCCGGTTCGGCACCCCGACCGTCATGGCCCGCAGCAGCAGCCTCCGCGATGCGCTCGACGCCGCGCATCCCTCGCCGCCTGACCCGTATTTACGGCCTCCCGAGGCCGCCCCTCGGCCCGCCCCCCTCGGCGGGGAGGAACGCCCGGCCTGGCCGGCTGCGGGATGGACCGCCGCCCCGCCCAGGAGGCGCTTGGGGCGGCGGGAGCGCACGTGGCGGCGAGGCCTTGGAGCACGAGGACCACCCCCCCTCCCCCCGATCGCGTGGGACCGAGCGCCGGCTGCGGTGCCAAAGGGGATGCCGTGGCGCCAGCGTTGGGGTTGGCATCCGAGGAGGAGGAGGAGGCGCAATAACGCCACGCGGTTTAGGAGCATATAAGAGAACGAAGCCAGTGTTGGATCCGGCCAGTGGGCCATCCGGTCCAGCGCTCTGCCGCACAGTGGCAGGGCCGCTCGCGAGGGGGCGTTTGGGAGGCTCGGCGCTATTCTTTTTATACACCACTCATACAGTGTTGGAAACAAGAAAGAACACCAGAAAGAGAAGAATAGATACGACAAATTCTGTTCATGGCAGAGATGGACAACATTACGAAGAAACTGAATAACAGGGAAGAGCTTGACTTTTTTGAAGAATGGAATGACTTTAAACTTGACCTAGAAAAAAAAACTGGGATGTGAAGCACAATTTACTATGTTTAGAACAATATTGGGATTAATTGATGTTATCTTAAGATGTACTGGAGGGTCAAAGGGGGAAACATTGCGGGAAGCCACCAGGAGGGAGGGGGGATATGGGAATATAGGTATTGGTTTAAGAATGATAATAGTGTTTTTTTTTTAACTGTAAGAGGTTATTTCCATGAAAATAAAAAATTCTTTTACCAAAAAAAAAGAAAAGAAAATGGTCGCGCTAAGGCCGAAGCGGCAGGACTGCACTTCGCACACACGCCACGGATTTACCACGGATTTAGGTGCATCGGTGCAACGCTGGGGAAGGGGGGAGCCCCGTGGAAAATCGGGGCGCTTCTTTTCCGAGTAAAGCTGTATAAAAAGAGTACGCTCGCCGCGCGGGCCTTCACATGCCTACTCGGAAAGAAGCTGTATTATTATTTATTACATTCGGTTTAACTTGTATTGTTAGGGGTGCCAACTCCGGGTTCAGAAATACTGCGGGACTAGGGTTTAGAGAGGGGAGGGACCTGGGTCGAGGATCTTTTACCTATGGCCTTTTGTGTAAGCCGCCCTGAGCCTGCTTCGGCGGGGAGGGCGGGGGTATAAATCAAATCGGTAATAAAATAAAGTAATAAATAAAATGATGGCGTGCAGTACACTTCCCAAAGCAGCCCTTTGCTCCAGGAGAAGTGGGATAGAGATTTTCAATTAATAAACAAAGAAGTGATTAATAAAGTCTTGGGGGTAGGTTGTAATTCCAGCTCTCAAAAGAAAAAAGAACACCGCCATCTGGAGGTTGGCAACGCTGCATCTTGGAGAAGGGTGTTCATGTGACGACCGTACAGTGCAATTCTGTGCAGAGTTAACAGGGCACCCCAAACCAATGTTCCCTCTAAGCTGTGGAGTCTTGTGAGCAAAAATTCTACTTTGTGAGCTACTGGCATTAAAGTTGCGAGCGAGCCATTTGGCTACTGCATAACTTAGTTGGCTCTGGAGCCGTCCTTCCTGAGCTAAGACAAAAATGTGTGAGCTGGAGGCTAAAAAACTGTGAGCTAGCTCACACCAACTCAGCTTAGAGGGAACACTGCCGCAAACCCATTCAGAGCTACAAGATTAGATTGGGGTGGTTCTGCGCGGGGGGCGCTTAGTTCCTCTGCAGCAGCACCCGGGGTTCCAGCCTGAGAGATGTGAAGTAATCCTGGTAAGTACTTGAGCGTGGACAGAGTGCTCTTGGGTTGCCACCGAGTGGCCGCCACCGGGACCCGCTCTGTTCATTTGGAGTCTGGAGACTTTGAAGCTTTGGCTCACTGCGTACTGGCTGAGGGGGCACTGAACTCATCTCAGGCTGCCAGTGTACCCAGAGGCACAGGCCTTCTTAGGTGTCTGGGTTAGCAACCTCTCCCTAGGAGCCACTGGAAAAACAAATCCTTTCTTTTGCACACCAAAACTGATTTGCGTCTCTTCCCCAAAGCAGGGAGCTGTTCCTGGCCTTCTTCTGTCTCCTTGGTGTTCCGGAACAGCCAGGAGGCGTGGACCTTTGTGTCACTACGAAGCCCTGGTTGGAAGCAACTGCCTCCCGAGTAGCACTGCACCTGGCATAGAACTGCCCAGCATTCCCTGATTGGCCATGCTCCCTGGCAGCCATTTTGTGACTGCTTCTCCCAGGGGCCTTTTTGTGATGGCACTCAGCTTGCCAGGTCCCCCTCGGCCACTGGCGGGGATGGAGTTGGGTTGCCAGATCCAGTGTGGGAAACTCCTGGAGATCTGGGGGTGGAGCCTGGGGAGGACAGCGACCTCCGAGGGGATACAGTGCCACAGAGTCCCCCCCACCAAAGCATCCATTTTCTCTGGGGGGACTGACTTCTGTAGTTGAGATGAGCTGTAATTCCAGAGGATCCTCAGGCCCCACCTGGAGGCTGGCGTCCCGTGGTGGCACCCATTGGTTGACCTTCTCTCAAAATTTGGAAAGTGCCTGCAGACTCAACGGAATTTCAGACAGGCGATATATTCCGGAAGAGGAACGGTTCCCAAACGGTTTCTGGTCTGTCATTTCAGACAGAACCGTTTGAGAACCGGTTCCCTTCCGGAATATATTTGTCATTTCATACACAATCGCTTCTGTCCCGTTTAGGAAACGGGGGCTGAAGCGTTTTACTTGTCAACCGCTTCCAAGTACTCCTCAGTTTCCTCTCCCGGTTCTGATCCGCTTTTTCCCCGCCGTTTTTCGCCAGCGCGGGCGATCTCCGGCCTTTTTGTGTGTGTACGTTTGCTTTACAGCGCTATAACACTATAATGGAATAGCATTATATCAATACCATTGGAATGCATGGGGTGTTTTGTTATAGTGCTATAGCGCTCTAAAGTGAACATTAAACAAAAAAAAGCCGGAGATTGCCCGCATGGGCGAAAAATGGCGGGGGAAAAGCGGTGCAGTCTGATATGGCCAATGTTCCCTCTAAGCTCTGGGGTCTTGTGAGCAAAAATTCTCCTTTGTGAGTGACTGGCATGAAAGTTGTGAGCAAGGGATCTGGCTACTGCATCAGTTAGTTTGCTCTGGAGCCATCCTTCCTGAGCAAAGACAAAAATGTGTGAGCCGGAGGCTTAAAAACGGTGAGCTAGCTCAGACTAACTCAGCTTAGAGGGAACACTGGATATGGCAAACCGCTTCAGATCCAGCTCTTTACCGGAAGGGGAAAGCCATGTGTGAAACGGCAGCCCTATACCAGTTCACTTCAAAACGGATCTTTACCGGCCCCAAGGTATCTGGCAGGGATGCTATCAAGGCACACCTGCCTTGCCTCCAGGGGGAGAAAAGCACCAGCTGAATTACAAATGGATGTGAGCTCTTAATGGTTGATTGACCTGGTTAAGTCCGGCACCCAATTAATAAGAGCTGTTTCCTGGGGTGACCGGGAGTAGTGGAGAAAGTCCTTGCCAGGGTGAACATAAATTAAAAAACAAAACCAAGATTAAGAGGATCTCAGTGTTCCCTCTAAGCTGAGTTAGTGTGAGCTAGCTTACAGTTTTTTAGCCTCTGGCTCACACATTTTTGCCTTGGCTCAGGAAGGAGGGCTCCAGAGCAAACTAATGTATGCAGCAGCCAAATGGCTCGCTCACAACTTGAATGCCAGTGGCTCACAAAGTAAGATTTTTGCTCACAAGACTCCACATCTTAGAGGGAGCATTGGTCATCATCCCTTATTGCTGGGTTGTATTTTGATGGTTCTAAAGTTTTTACTCCTTTGTCTTGATTCCAGCACAAGCTGCTGCGTAGAATCATAGAGTTGGAAGGGGCCTCCAGGATCATCTAGTCCAACCCTCTGCACAAGGCAGGAAATTCACAAAAACCCCCCCACACTCTTTGGGGTCATTCCGAGTGCTCTCTTGTTCAGGAGGGGCGTCGTGTGAATTGCTCTTGCTTCCTCATCTCTCTCTTTTTAATCGTGGGGAGCTGAATCACAGAATCATAGAGTTGGAAGGGACCTCCAGGGTCATCTAGTCCAACCCCCCTGCACAAGGCAGGGATTTCACAAATACCTCCCCCTCCACACCTGTAGTGACCGCTGCTCCGAGCCCAGAAGATGGCAAAAAAAAAAAAAACCTCCAGGATCCCTGACCAAATTGGCCTGGAGAAAAATTGCTTCCTGACCCCAGCGTGACAATCGGCATTTCCCTGGGCGTGTAAAAAGGGCCACGAGAACTAAGCACTGAGGCAACCCTTCCTGCCCTATTTCTCATGATCTGCCCAAGTTCAGAGAATCCGCATTGCTGTCAGATGGCCATCTAGCCTCTGTTTGAAAACCTCCAAAAAAGGAGAGGCCACCACCTCTCCCAAGGAAGCCTCTTCCACTGAGGAACAGCTCTAACTATCAGGACGTTCTTCCTGATGTTCAGCTGAGAACTCTCCAAAGTTAATTTCAACCTCTTGGTCCTGGTCTGACCTTCTGAAGTCACAGGATGCCTCACCAAAACCCCTTTTCCCCCTTCTCACCCTCTCCAGTTCAACAACAGTCATTCCGGGCGGTTCACAGTGAACACAGGCGTTGATGACATTTCCAAAGTCCATATGGTGGATACCTGGAATGGCTTAAAAAAGGTAGGGAAATGATTATGGGTCAGCCAATTCTCGTCTTGTTTTGAAGGGAGGAAAGCGATCACGCGGGCGTTTCCACACAGTGTTGTTAATGTTGTTGAGCATATGGTGTTTTTTTCTGTTCACATTGAGTCCTGCAGAGGAGACATGGTGCTTTTCTGAGTTTCACTGGGGGTCTCCCGTTCCTCCAAGGTCATCTAGTCCAACCCCATGCACAATGCAGGAAATTGACAAATACCTCCCCCTCCACACCGACCACTGTACCACACCCAGAAGATGGCACAAAAAACCTCCAGGATCCCTGGCCAAACTGTCTTGGAGAACAATTGCTTCCT